TTCCGTTGCTACTGTTCCAAAACGTTATTTCACTGATAAATAAATCTTCGCCATTTTCATATTCTTTCTCGCATGACTATCTTTAAACCCAACCTTTTATGAGGTGATTTTTGGGCTCATCAACAAAGGTCGTGCAAGGTCGTGCAGCGAGCTTCAGATGTATGTTTTCACTCTTTATATTGGGGATATTGTCTCGTGTAAATATATGTCAAGTCTTTTCATTCTTTATGTAATGGTTTAAATGATGAGGAAATTTTTAAAAACTTGTTTCATCATTATTTTCATATTATTTTGACAATGAATATATCAACTGCAGTTTTTATATATTACTATAAATATTTTTAGTGAGAAAATTCATATAGTGCTATTTCCCTTATATATGGTTATCAACATCAAGTTTATCTTGACCATTCACTTTATAAAGATTTTTAGTTAGAAAATTCTTAGTGATATTTCCCTTATATATAGCTATCAACATCAAGTTTATTTTGACTATTCACTTTATGAATATGAATGTTTCTTTTCTATTAGAAAATAGAAGGTTCACAAAGCAGCATTTATATTTTAGAAATATTAGCTCAGCTAATATTTGTTTGCAGAAATATAATAATTTTAAGATGGAACAAATCATGTAGGTCCTCAAAAGATATTAAGAAAGAATGGACACAAAATGTGCATTCCACTTTAATGAACTGATTTTCTAAAATTAAAAGTCGCCTTAAGAAATATCTAATTTTATGTCACAGATACCCCAAGCGGTCCTTTACTGATCTGATATTGACATATAATGTTGGACACTTGTCTTTAGTTTTGTTTTGTCGACTTTTAGATATCTTTTTTTCGGCGGTGGGGGTTACTGTTGCTTATCCATATTGCTTTGCTTTTAGGTTCTATTGCGATGTTGTAGATTGACTATTTGCAAAATGTTTTTTTTAATTTGGGTTTTCTTCTCGTCGAAATACCCTGTAGTTAAATAAGAAGGCAGTAAATTTACATCAGTTATAAAATATTACAAGTCAGAGTATAAACAGAAAACAGTGGTAAGAAATCAGTCAGAATCCATGAACCACCAACCAGTAATATGTAATATACAAAAATGAGCTAAATTCAAGATGAATATAATTTCTGTGTCATTTGGTTTCTTGTGGAGAGTTATCTCATTGGCAATCATACCACATCTTCTTATTTTTATACATGATGTAAATATTCTACATTTATTTTGGAAATACTAAAGAGGTACTGATCAACCAATTGGTAATGGCTATAAACAACAGTAGTCTAATAGAAATTGAAGTGATTGTTTCCGGAGATTGCAGCTGCACATGACATATGCTCAAAACCACGAACAAACTGTGAAATGTAAGCACCCATGCAACTTAGGATCACCTGAGATCACCCCCTGTTTTTGGTGGGGTTCTTGTTGCTCAGTCTTCAGTTTTCTATGTTGTATTTATGTACTGTTGTTTGTCTGTTGATCTTTTTCTTTTTTTGCCATGGCGTTGTCAGTTTATTTTCGACTTATGAGTTTGAATGTCCCTTTGGTATCTTTCGCCTCTTTTTTTTAGGAAACGCACATTTATACTACTACTCTGATAATTTAAAAATAGAAGTAATTGTCAATTGTTGTTATAGATGTATGTCTAGCGACAAAGGTTGCGTCATACCTGAACGACAGTTATTTAGTCAAACCAAGCAGCTTTTGATGACAGCATGAAGATTATTTTAGACGAAACATAAATCCAACCTTTCACAATTCATACAAACTGTACACTATTTTGTGTGAACAGATACAGGTATAGCAGGAAAATGATCGGGATCTTAGACATAGGAGTAAATTAAAAAATGCATGTTTAATTCATCGACAGATCTAGCAACACTTAGCTCTGTCACTACCTCGCATTTTTATATATAGGGCGTGATAAATTATTTAGATTCATATTCCATAATTTCTATACATTTATGCTGTACATATGATTCGCTTTTTCAATCTAATGACGTAAAAAAACAAGACGATGTGGTACGATGTATATGTTTATTTCAGATATAACCTTATTCCTTTATTTGAAAGCTAATTTTTTTTTCTGTCCTGTGGGAGCATTTTTTTTTCTCACAATCATAATACATAAAATCATATTCTATTATTGTCATGCATTTTTTTGATATAATCTTATTCGGCAATTTTCATATATTTATTTTACGAATAAGATCTCACAATCACATTTTGATACATTTGTTCAACATGTTTTAACAGATCCTATCTGATTCCATTACTGGAATTGATCGTTTCGATACGTGTATTTAATGGATCTTGCATCTTTATTTTGATGCATGCAGTATTGTAGGGCATAACGCCATCAACTATAGACGGTTTTACTACCAAAGCATGTTAAAGTAAAGTTTGGTTAGTTTGCTTGTAAAGTTTGTTGAGAAGTTTTATTATGCATTGCTATTAACATTTACCCATTGATTATTACTTTTGTCCAATACAATCCTCGTAGTCTCTATAACCAGACAAACTCCACCTTTATCTTTGTTTGCAAACGTCATATTCCTTACAAACTTTGCGCGCAACCTAACCCAAACCTGCGTTGAATATCCTCTTGTAATAGAGATCTAATTGTGCATCAATTGTATAATTAGAATCTTATACCATAATAAAAAGGAGATACCGATTTCAGTGCGCATCATGCATGTGTTATAACCTTTACAGTTATAAACGGCACCAAAAGTGTGGGAGACAAAATATATGAAGCTTTTCTAAAACGATCACCAAACATAAAATATTTCGAAACAGTACAGCTAAAGAAGTGTCTATGGTCAGCCTTTTTAGGGAGTTGCAACCCCCTTTTTGTACAATAAGATACTAACTATCAATAAAAGTTCAAACTCACATAAGGAAATAAAGTATCATTAAAATCCAGCGAGTACTGTAGTACAAACTTTTTTTTGCTTTTAAAGTTCGTAATTGATTTGGCTTTTTCAACTGTTATGATTCGAGCACCACTGAAGAGGAGTCTTGTGTAGACGAAACGCACGTCTGGCGCACTTTATAAAAAAACCTGGTATCCTTGATTTTTTATAGATGAAATAAACGGAACGGACAATCTGCCAGCCACACACATCAATCAATACAGTGGTAATATTTAAAAGTACGATAACATGCAAAAATGACAACTCTTAACTCATAAATTGTATGAACAAAAATACCGAATTCCAAGGTAAATTCAAAAGGGGAAGGCCATAAAACCTGACAAAATCAAACGTTTGACTATATCAACTAACGAAACGAATGGAAAATAACTGTCATATTCCTGACTTGGTACAGACATAAATAACACCACTTTATACAATGTTTTGTAGCAAATTTTAAATTTTGTAAAAGAAAAAAAAACTTGAGAAGCGTCATTAGACTTGTACATATGAGAGAACTTAGCCTTCAATATATGTTTTTCCATTTTAATCCAGCCCAACAATAAATAAACCGCGTTTTTGCACTGTAATGCATATCTTTCCCGGAGCTGGATACGAACTATAGTTCTTAACCGGATGACGACTCTCCTCGTCGGCCATAGTAAAGGACATATAAAGTGAGTGGCGTTGAGATGATGTTTTAGTGGTATGGGATGGTGTTTTTGTGCAATTCATTTTTCCTTCTTCAAAATATCGTAATTGATTTGTAAAACAGTTATACAAACACACATGGATATATCTGTGTGTGTGCGTGTGTATGTGTGTGTTAGCTGAATTTTTATTGGAAGGTTAAAACCAAGTTGGAGAAAAATAGTGTCCTTTGCGGTTGATCCTGAACTTTATAACATAAAATGTCCGATTTTGATTTTAATTCATCTATATGTAGTCTTTTCTTCTTCTTTTTTTTTTTTGCCTTTCATTACAACCACCTAATTTATTTGGTTGATAATGTTTTAAGAATTTCCCATACACATCAACGAGAAAGTAATTACATTTATGTTAATCTATGCTTTGAATGGATTTTCCATAAAATAGAGTCAAAATATTCATAGTTATTTATTATTATAAAAATACATATAATAAAACTGTACCAATGTCATTTGCATAGATATATTTATTTCATGCTGAAGCGTTATGGATCTCCGATTATCACTTCTAATAGTTATGCAGAGAGCAAAATGCCATTGATGCGATCTTCAGTTTTTTTTTATCTGTAAATATAAAACATATACAATTAAGAACATAACTAAATCATGAACATTTTACTGGTATAAACATGTTTTTCTATATATTATAATCATCTCCCATTTAATCTTAATCAGTGAAATGACATGGTTCACAAAAGAAAGTACAATAAAATCAGTACATAAAAAGCACTAAATAGAAAAACAAAGAATATGGGGTATCCATCCATGACACAAAATCAGTACATGCACATCAAAATACACATATAAAGCAAAGGAACAGAGCTTGTATTGCTGTTCTTAACTCTATTGTTACTTAACTCTTATTAACTCTATAATACCGTTATAAGAGAGAGAGAGTACAATCAGACAATAAGGAATAGTACCGTACCTAATAATTCTTGCAGTTACATTGTACCAATATCAAGCTAACAAGGATTTGGGAGATTGAAAAGTGTCTGCAGACTTTGTTCTATTTTATTTACTTTGTTCTATTTTATTTACATAATATATGAATAAATGAAGATTTCGAGTATGTAATAAAAAAACATATTTTAGCAAACTGCAAATGTTGATAATTCCCTTGTCATAGGATGCTGCGGCAAAAAAAGTTGTGAATAAAAAATTGAAATTACTCTTTTGTCATGCACTTCACACGTCTTCCAGTGGTCGTATTTGCAACAGACGCAAGTTCAAACAGGTTAACCGTTCAATTTGTTTGCCTACCGTTGGATATCAGTTGTGCAAATTAATAGGAACTGTTTTAAAAGGTAACATTTATGTCACTTAAGATATATTTTCACCAACGATGCATTATGACTAAACTTAATTAATCCTAAAACTCACCTTCCTTAAGTACCAATTGTTTCCACCATTTTGCCATATAATCATAACCAACAAGAAGTATCAATCTGAAAAACGCATAAAAACATTGCATTTTGTCCATTTTTGCCTACTTCTTTCTCTTTTTTTGTAATTCAGTCGTGGTTTAATATGACTGTCTTGGAATCTCACAAATTTATAAAAAATGGACATAAATAAGTGCTAAACAAACAAAAACAAATGGAAAAAAGGAAAACACAAAGAAGAGATGAGATAAATTACAGATAGATCTTGCCTGTTAGTAGAATAAAACATACCGAAGTTCAGCCATACAGCTCTGTCTCTGAATCCATCCTACCACCCAGTAGGTACATTCAAGGCACACAAAATCATTGACTTAATGGACTAGATGACATTCTCGATTCGATGCTGTATTCCCGGCCATATGGACTGGACGACATTCTGGATTCGTGGTTATAGTCAGAATCAGAAAACTGCGTATTGCTGTCATAATCAGGATGGTTCCACACATATCCGTCGCTGTATCCTGTTCCATTAGGATGAAACGATGAGGAATTGTCAGATTCCATATTGTCAAAAGAATTCATCTGAAAACCGGAAACAGCATTACAATCAACAGCTGATGGCATATGCCATTGTGTTAAATATTCATCAATAATAACTAATGCATACCTGTATTAGTTCTATTATAATCTGCAAAATACTAGTTGTGGGTGAATTTTGTACTTAGAGTACTAAGTAAATTTCAATTCAATAATAAATAAAAACATATTCAATAACAATAACATTTTATATTATAGGTATATGATCCTAGTACTGCTGTAATGTTGCACAGCACAACTGTCTTTGATTGGGACTTAAACGTTTCAGTGTTTGTGTGGTTTAACAGTTTCCTTAATATCATTCTAGAGATTTTGTTCTTTTCTGTCCCGTCCACAGAATCATTTGACATACATCATTTAAATCATATCTGCACTCACATATACACATTTTGGAAATAATTAAAAGTTTATATATTGTATTTTAAATTATTTTATAGTCCTTTTTTCAGGTGTTATTCTTAGAATGAAATATTAACAAAATTATCTAGACACTGTGCCATGATTTCGGAAGCTCATATATAGTACACTTACCAGTTGTTGAAGAGGAGGCTCATCCATCTGATTTTTGATTCTGTATGTATTAAATGGCTGCCATTTCTGTTGATAACTCTGCACTTCTATTGGGTTCATTGGTATATGATTCTCATGTTTGACCGGACTTGACGCCACCATTGGTATTCCTTGTAAGGGCCCACAAAATCTTGCATTCTAAAAAGGGAATCAATGAAATGTCACTCTACAATCGATATCAATCTTATGTGGATTCTTGAAAATGACTAACTTCTATCATAGTCACTAAAATATTTTTTTATCAAATAACAAAACTTTTGGCCTTTCTATACTTTACTCTACAAATGACTTTTTTTCTAAATTGAAAGATCAATTAAACCTTCTCATAATAAATTGTTTCTTCTATAAAAATGGGAAATGCAAATAAAAAAATTTCTTTGGTGGTCGAAAGAAAGTAATACTTTGTTTAAAAGAACCAGACTTTTCTAAAGACGCCAATGCAGACATTATCGAAATACCGGTAGTTTTAATCGATAACATATATGTAAGAATAAGGGGATGTGTTATGTTGGCCAATGAAACAAATATCCCTATCCATAAAGACCAAAGGATATATATTCAGTTTTATAGTTTTCCATGCCAATAGATTGTCAGTTCCAATCAATACTACAGTGCACTTTTACTAAAATAGTAAAACTAATAACTATATACCATTTTACTTATATAAATCAGATTAAAATTTTTAAAAAGTCTATAAAAAGAAAAGAAATAAAAACATCCAGAAAACATTACTTTCACTACAGGTGTGGATACTATACAAATACATCTCAGTGAACTTTATATCAACTTCACTTCACAAGACAAGAAAGTCTACGTTAATCTTTATATCGACTAAAATAAGGGTCTACGAATAAAGGGTCAGTATTTCCATTGGGGAATATCCCATCTGACCAAGCCTAAAACGTTAACGTGTCTCAAGTTGAAGCAATATACCAAAGCATGTTCTCATTATAACGATTCACACGCAAGGTTTGTGAAGAAGAAGAACTAAATAATCCATCTACAAGTTTAATGGACAAAATCGTGAAATGGTCCCACTGTCTCAACTTACTAGAGGCATGCCTACTGTGTCATAGACCCGACATATCCACTATTGTCCATTTTACATTATTTACAGTTTTGTCATGTAACCAAGGGTTACCCATGTAAATTAGGTGACTTAGAATTGCATTACCCTGCCGACGCACCTTATCTCATTCCGCTAATATTCACCGATTCCGGTCGTTTTCACTCCCAAATTTGTATTTCTTTGTCTAAACTTTTGGTATTTGATCTGAAATCTGCCAACTTCCCTCATATCCAAAAGCTGTGTATAGATATCAATTTTAATTTACCTTGTGTACTTTTGTCCTTGTTATTTGCTTAGTATTATATCATTGTGTGCATTTCTTGTATGATTGTGTGTAATTCTAATTTGAATGCATGTTTGTTTTGTTGAACGTCAAACACATATCCACATCTTTAAAAACTTGATCAATAAGTTTCTTCACCAAACCAAACAAAATTTTGTACCTTTTCTTGTTGTTGCTGTTGTTGTTGTTGTTGTTGTTTTGACAGAATGCTCCGTTTGTTGTCCTTACAGCGTTTGTTTTGGAACCAAACTCGGATCACACGAGGACTCAAATTTGTCATTTCAACAAGTTGTTCTTTCATTAAAGCATCTGGTCGAGGATTTGCATTATACCAGGTGCATAAAGTGTGAAGCTGTTTTTCATTGAGTACAGTCCGTCCACGTGTCGGCTTTTGATCTGATTTTCGTCGAGATTCACCATTTTTGCTTTTATCTTTATTTCCTGTGAATCATATAAATCAATGATTTATCAGTGTATATTTATTGCCTTATTATTACCGATAAAACAAACCCATTTATGTAATAAAAATTACAGACAAGATTCGTTTTCTCAGAGTTTTAGCGTTTTCTGTTTTTTTTTTTATTATTATTATCATAACTAAAAAACACAGTTACTTCGGCACACTTATACACTTAGATTTTCGCTACCTTCAAGTATATCTTACCAGGTTTAACATGCTTATTCTAAAAAAAGATTTTTTCTCACATTCAAGAATAACAAAAATCGATTTGAATTTTATTCTACTTTAGTTAATTTTGATTCACATTTTTTGAAAGTATATTCTTTTATGAAAATAAATTTCAGTATACATGTATTTTTAATTAAGATTATACGCATTATATTTGTAATAATGAATTAATTGAAATTAAGATACATTTAAATGCAGATTGTTATTTTATAGCTTTTCCTCAATCGAACTAAGGTCCTTGGAGATGTCACCTTTGATCATTTTTATAGGATTCCACTATTTAATTGTTTTAATTATTTACAAAAATTGTTACAGTCAACCATAAATACTCAGTTAAAACAAAATATGCATGAAACAGAATTTTAGATTTGATCTTATTTATCATATTAATAGCTATGTCCCACTTAAATCAGTAATTTTATAAAAACTGTCGGCGCTTACTGGAGTGAAAACAAATAAGCACTATCGATTATCATTTTCATCGATTTCTTTTTCGAATTCTGTACAGTGATATCAACAACTCTAACATTTAAACATGAAGAGATAAACATCAAAAACTCATTATTGGGATTTTTCCATTGATTTTAATTGTCATTTTGCTAGCGTTAAAAAGACAAATTACTTCTCGTATTTGTTAAATTATAAATATAAAAAACAAATAAAACTGATAGTTTTTTCCTGATTTATACAAATTTCCCCATGGTTCCCGGTTTTAAATAAAATATTCTGTTTGTTCATAATACAGCAAATTATCAATTTTTTTAAATATAAAATTTAAAAAGTCTAAAATATCAATTTTTATGTGAAGTGAGAAATCTGTTGCATAACATTAATACCGAATTAATTTAATGCATCAAAGACGCAAATCAAACATTTATTTCTCATCAGTTTTCATTGTAACCAAATATTTGATGTTATAATACGAAAGTACAAAAAGTTTTACAGTAAAGTAAAGAAAAAAAGAAACTATAATATTTGTAACCAATTAAACGGTTAAAAATCATGTTACAGATTTCAAATTATTTGAACTAATGATAATAAATAACGCGTTTTTATACCACGGTGAGGCAATTAACGTCAAAAGATTACTGGCATTTCAGTCTATAAATGTTCCTGTCATGTTCATACAAAAAAAGTAATCAGACATTTATATTTGTCGCGTTTAAATTATTTTACTTGTTGTTATTTGAATATTAAGATATTGATGCACTTTTATCCAAATATATTTGTTTTACTTGTACCTTTATTTTTATGTAAACCGTTTTCTCTTTTTTCTTTTGCATTTTCATTGGTTTTCACTGTGTGTTCCTCCGCTTCTATTTTGATGTCTTCAACTTCTAATGCCGGGTTCATATCAATATCACTAACTTCATGGTCTTCTTTACAAAACAATTCGTTGTCTTTGAGTGCAAATTCATCCCCAGGAATAAGCTGGCGACGGCAAGCAACACAATGAAAACAGTCTATATGATAAAGATTATCCTTTGCTCTCATAACGAAGTCATTTCTACTACAAGCTTTGTGGCATTTAGAACATTTGGCACCAAATAACCTAAAGATAAAATTGGTTAATGTTATTGTTTGTTAAATGCTTTAAACAACACTTTTCTCAAAGATATAGTCTTGAGATATTTTCATGCATATATCGTTGGTTCAATTCTCTATCATGCATAATCATAGATAATTGAAAAAGTATACTAAAATTTCATGGATTACGCAAAATTAATTTTAAAACATTACTTTTCTACACTTTTAAAACATCCTATTTCCTAAACTTTGAAAAAAATAAAATAAACTAATAAAATTCATAATTCCGGGACTATAAAATTAAATGGTTTTAATTAAATCAAATTCTTGTTCCATTTTATTCACTCATTATTTCTATAATAAATATTAGATATTTTATTACTTGCCTTGCGTAGTCTTTACGACAGTATGTTTTCCCGTCTCTTACAAAACAAGTACAGCTTTCATCCAAATACTGACTACAGTCCACACATTTTAGGCACGATGCATGCCACTCTAAATCCGGTGCCACTTTCAAGATAAACTGGTCGTGTATCTGTGAGCCGCAACCAACACAGATTGAAATTTTCCTATTTGCTAAAAGGTAAAAAATAAAAAAATAGTATTGCTATTTTTGTTTAACGTATTCAATGTATACTTCATCTTACTAGTATGTATCCAATATAATAATAAATTGGTATATCAAACTTACTGTTGCCGATGGACTGTGGCTGTTGTGCATCCGCTGTCATTTTGAATACTTAAAATGAAAAGTATTTTAATTACTTGTTTTGTAAATAAATAGACAAAACAACCTTTAAAACGAGAAAATAACGCCTTATCTATGATATATCGGTTTGAATGATTACCACAAGAGATCCTACTTTGTCATCTCTATTTTGATTGGCTCATGTACTAGCTGCAATCAGTATACACAACTGGTCGATTTGACAAGGGGCGTATCAGTAATTCTGTTGATGTAAAGGAGAAGTGTAGTTTTTAATGAAGACTAAGAAAGATAACCGCGTTTAAACTTTATAACCATTTCGTTTACTTTTTCGTTCTATGCTTATTACCAACTCTCCCATTTGTCGATGAATGGTTAAGTTTGTATGTATATTGAGTATCATATTATCTAATGATATTCTAGAGAAAAAAGAAATAAATAAAAAAAAACACTTTATAAATTTAGTGAGTCCGAAGCGCTTTTCTGGATTAGCCTTCATCAGAAACGTTCAAACCCAAAATATCGAAAGTCAAGGATGAGTGAATACTTCAAAAATGACAAAAGGGGACTTAAAAGAATAGCCAACCACCTAAGATTAACTTTGCATGAGGGAGTTTGAACCTTAGTTTCCTAATAGTTTCTAAATTTATCAAAGGGGAATTTAAGAATTATATACCTTATAAATCATGTCAGTACTGGAGCACTGTCTTAATTGTGTTAATTGCTAGTGTGTTTTAATCTGGGACTATTATACAATTAGTATAATAGTCCCAGTTTTAATTCAGCTTGCAACAATAGGTGAAGTTTGTTGATCATAGGCGATATATGGTATGGAAAAGTCCAAATGTTTGATTTTAGCTGGCCGTTCTGCTATGGGCTTTTTGTACTGTTGTCTTGACCACAGGATGAAAAGCAAACATCAGTGAATAAATCAATATGAGGGTTTGGCATATTTGTCTTTTGAAAAAGACTATATATTGTTGACGCAAAGGTTTAAGCCAGAATCCCTTTTACAGTAAATTATGAAGATGGAATCTGTAAGTGTGCGTTGCTATTTATATATTTTTTTTGTAGTCATATTTTACCGATGCCGGAAGTTTTTTGTCTATGCGCGAGAACATTTACAAAGAGTAACATACAGCTTGAAATTATCCATAAAATCTACGACCGACACATGTTCCAGATAATCTGACTTAACACAGACAGAAAATGTACAGTTGTTAAACCAGTTTAACGTTCGCAAAAGCCTCACCTTAAGCATATCTTTACAAAATAAGGAGATGTGGTAAAATAGTATGCTTCAAAGTCATCTATTATATATGACTTTAACGGTAAGACCAACAAATCACAGGCACAACGAGACACAAGCAACTAGATTTGCGTCCCGTGAATACTCAATTACTCTATGTCCGATTACACACATCTCACTAAACACAAGTCATGTTTATACAACGGCTCAAAACTACAGCTCAGTAAAGGAGAAATGAAGAGTTTGTGAATGATAACAACTTGGCTTATATATAACTATTGGGCGGTGTAGAGAAAAATCCAAATATCTGACAAAGCTTGTTGTTTGGGCCAAAACAATTGTCTCCATGCTCCATGTACAGAGATCGATTCCAAAGAATACTCAAACATTGCAAACACACTTGTGTCATGGTATTGCATAGTATGTAACGCACAATATCGTTATGTTTGACCTGATTTTTTTCAGCTGGTAGCAACATTTATTCAGTACTGTTGAAATTCACATCAATCAACAGCGACATAAATCTAAGCATAACATCTGCAATGAACTCAAGTATTGGTGACCCTCAGCTTCACTAAAACGCATAGATAATTAAATGTAGAACCAACAGCAAAACAACAAGAAATCACAAACAACAAGAAATCACAAACAAGAAATCACATACAAGAAATCACAAACAACAAGATATCACAAACAACAAGATATCACAAACAACTAGAAATCACAAACAACAAGAAATCACAAACAACAAGATATCACAAACAACAAGAAAGCACAAACAACAAGAAATCACAAACAACAAGATAGCACAAACAACAAGAAAGCACAAACAACAAGATATCACAAACAACAAGAAAGCACAAACAACAAGAAAGCACAAACAACAAGATAGCACAAACAACAAGAAATCACAAACAAAAAGATATCACAAACAACAAGAAATCACAAACAACAAAAAATCACAAACAAGAAATCACAAACAACAAGAAATCACAAACAAGAAATCACAAACAAGAAATCACATACAACAAGAAATCACAAACAAGAAATCACAAACAAGAAATCACATACAACAAGAAATCACAAACAACAAGAAATCACAAAAAAGAAATCACAAACAACAAGAAATCACAAAAAACTAGAGATCACAAACAACAAGAAATCACAAACAACAAGAAATCACAAACAAGAAATCCAATACAACAAGAAATCACAAACAACAAGAAATCACAAACAACAAGAAATCACAAACAACTAGAAATCACAAACAAGAAATCACATATAACAAGAAATCACAAACAACAAGAAATCACAAACAAGAAATCACAAGCAACAAGAAATCACAAACAACTAGAGACCACAAACAAGAAGAAATCACAAACAACAAGAAATCACAAACAACCAGAAATCACAAACAACAAGAAATCACAAACAACTAGAGATCACAAACAACAAGAAATCACAAACAACAAGAAATCACAAACAAGAAATCACAAAAAACAAGAAATCACAAACAACAAGAAATCACAAACAACTAGAGATCACAAACAACTAGGTATCATCACAAACAAGAAATCACAAACAACAAGAAATCACAAATAACAAGAAATCACAAACAACAAGATATCACAAACAACTAGAAATCACAAACAACAAGAAATCACAAACAACTAGATATCACAAATAACAAGAAATCACAAACAACAAGAAATCACAAACAAGAAATCACAAATAACAAGAAATCACAAACAAGAAATAACAAACAACTAGATATCACAAACAACAAGAAATCACAAACAACAAGAAATCACAAATAACAAGAAATCACAAACAAGAAATCACAAACAACAAGAAATCACAAACAACTAGAAATCACAAACAAGAAATCACATACAACAAGAAATCACAAACAACAAGAAATCACAAACAACAAGAAATCACAAACAACTAGAAATCACAAACAAGAAATCACATACAACAAGAAATCACAAACAACAAGAATCACAAACAAGAAATCACAAACAACAAGAAATCACAAACAAGAAATCACAAACAACAAGAAATCACAAACAAGAAATCACAAACACCATGAAATCACAAACAACAAATCACAAACAACAAGAAATCACAAACAACTAGAGATCACAAACAACTAGATATCACACACAACAAGAAATCACAAATAACAAGAAATCACAAACAACAAGATATCACAAACAACAAGATATCACAAACAACTAGAAATCACAAACAACAAGATATCACAAACAACAAGAAATCACAAACAAGAAATCACAAACAACAAGAAATCACAAACAAGAAATCACAAACAAGAAATCACATACAACAAGAAATCACTAACAAGAAATCACAAACAAGAAATCACATACAACAAGAAATCACAAACAACAAGAAATCACAAAAAAGAAATCACAAACAACAAGAAATCACAAAAAACTAGAGATCACAAACAACAAGAAATCACAAACAACAAGAAATCACAAACAAGAAATCACATACAACAAGAAATCACAAACAACAAGAAATCACAAACAAAAAGATATCACAAACAACAAGAAATCACAAACAACAAAAAATCACAAACAAGAAATCACAAACAACAAGAAATCACAAACAAGAAATCACAAACAAGAAATCACATACAACAAGAAATCACAAACAAGAAATCACAAACAAGAAATCACATACAACAAGAAATCACAAACAACAAGAAATCACAAAAAAGAAATCACAAACAACAAGAAATCACAAAAAACTAGAGATCACAAACAACAAGAAATCACAAACAACAAGAAATCACAAACAAGAAATCCAATACAACAAGAAATCACAAACAACAAGAAATCACAAACAACAAGAAATCACAAACAACTAGAAATCACAAACAAGAAATCACATATAACAAGAAATCACAAACAACAAGAAATCACAAACAAGAAATCACAAGCAACAAGAAATCACAAACAACTAGAGACCACAAACAAGAAGAAATCACAAACAACAAGAAATCACAAACAACCAGAAATCACAAACAACAAGAAATCACAAACAACTAGAGATCACAAACAACAAGAAATCACAAACAACAAGAAATCACAAACAAGAAATCACAAAAAACAAGAAATCACAAACAACAAGAAATCACAAACAACAAGAAATCACAAACAACTAGAGATCACAAACAACTAGGTATCATCACAAACAAGAAATCACAAACAACAAGAAATCACAAATAACAAGAAATCACAAACAACAAGATATCACAAACAACTAGAAATCACAAACAACAAGAAATCACAAACAACTAGATATCACAAATAACAAGAAATCACAAACAACAAGAAATCACAAACAAGAAATCACAAATAACAAGAAATCACAAACAAGAAATAACAAACAACTAGATATCACAAACAACAAGAAATCACAAACAACAAGAAATCACAAATAACAAGAAATCACAAACAAGAAATCACAAACAACAAGAAATCACAAACAACTAGAAATCACAAACAAGAAATCACATACAACAAGAAATCACAAACAACAAGAAATCACAAACAACAAGAAATCACAAATAACAAGAAATCACAAACAAGAAATCACAAACAACAAGAAATCACAAACAACTAGAAATCACAAACAAGAAATCACATACAACAAGAAATCACAAACAACAAGAATCACAAACAAGAAATCACAAACAACAAGAAATCACAAACAAGAAATCACAAACAACAAGAAATCACAAACAAGAAATCACAAACACCAAGAAATCACAAACAACAAATCACAAACAACAAGAAATCACAAACAACTAGAGATCACAAACAACTAGATATCACACACAACAAGAAATCACAAATAACA